GTGGGCCGAGCGGCCGCAGCGCCTCTGCTCTCGTTCAAAATGGCCACGGTCCCGCGGTTCTCCTGTTTGTCTCCTCCACGCTGCGGCCGCAGGCTGCCCCGAGCAAAGCCAGGGGGCGCGGGCGGGCGGGCAGGGGCACTGTGCCGCGAGCTGGAAATGCAGCCAGGGGGCGCAGATCTCTGGCTGCACCAGGGTTATCCGCCATTGCTAGCCCCTGCCTGGGCCAGACGTGCGGAGTCCAGCCTACTGGGTGCGCTAGGCACCAGAGGGGGCTGCGCTCCGGGTCCATAACACCGGCAGAACTGCAGCCGCTTGCTGCTTTGTGTGCCACCGACCCGGGGACAGGGCCAAGCGCTTTGCCACGACGGCACGGTCACCCGCATTCAATATTAATCTTTGCAAGTCGCACAGACGTCTTTGTAGTGCCCATAGATGACTCATGGTAGTACTCGGAAGATACACAACTCCCTATGCTCCTGCCAACATTGTAATGGCTAAATGGGGTGCCCTTGCATGCCCTCTGGCCCTGCCTGCACCCCTTTCTCTCCATAGGTACCAGTTACAATATCGCCCCAATATTGGTATCTTTACTGGTTGATATGATTATACCAGGAAAGTTGAAGTGGGGCCCCCACCACCCATTGTAGATACATTTATTCCAGCATACTTATTCCTCTAATAGAAGAAAAATAATCCATAGCAATAAAAAGGTATTTTTGTACTACTATAACCAAGGCCATCCCATGGTGGGCACAGGGCTGTGGCAATCCCTGTGGAAAACTGCAGGCCCTGTCCCTGTCCCACTTCTACTCAACCGTACTCCAAGCCCTACCCCTGCTCCACTCTGCCCATCTCACGATGCTGCACTTCCCGTTGCTATGGTGAAGCAGAGTACAACCGGCTGGGAGATGGGCAGCAGTTGCTCCGACTCCTGCCATCATGGTGAGTGCGAAGAGTCCAAACCCCTGCTGCCACCCAGCACCAGGCCCTTCGGTAATACACTGGGCCACCCGGGGCCCCAGGTATTATTCATACGATGGTAGAGGTAGCAACCATGGCCGCCCCCACAAAGCACAAGGCTTGGGGTAGCCACCTCAAACCATCTTATGGACGGGACAGCTGGCTACAACCACATCAACAGGAGGAGTTGCATTAGTATCACTATTTCAGCAGTGGTACTTAAATAGCTTGTATACTGAGGATGCTGAGAGTCATTAAACAAAACTGTAAAGCCTATATATGATGGAAAATACTTGAAGCCAGGAGGTGTGGCATCACCCCTAATTCCAGCACCTATGTTAATTTTAGTAAAAATCACACTCCTAACACATTAGTTATCCTGATTCAAAATTTGTGCATAAACCACACCAAAACCATATTTTCATAAGTGCACACCACAGAAGATTTAATCAGTTATCTAGCTGACTTGCAGCTGGGCCAGTATGCCCTGTAAATTACCCATCAATTCCAGTTTGTTAAAATAATTACTGGTAACATTTGGGAATAAGGGTGTTCGATGCATACCTGTCTGTAATGGCAAAAATTGTAGGCTGCCTTCCTGTCTTTTCTAAAAGCAACAACATAGCCTTCATACACTGTGAATTTAAAGCTTTCTGGCAATGTTCTTGCAATTACTGCATGTTAATCACATATATCTATTTTCTGTTTAACTCCTAGTTTTGTAATGGCAAGTATTCTTGCGCAAGAGGGCCAGTGTAGACAGCAACGTAAATTTCTTGCACAAGAAAGCCCGATGGCTAAAATGACCATCGGAGCTTTCTTGCACATGAGAGTGTCTACACTGGCACAGATGCTTTTGTGCAATAGCAAATCTTTTGCACAAAGGCACATGCCAGTGTAGACGATCTCTTGCGCAAATACTTTTAACGGAAAAACTTTTCCGTTAAAAGTATTTGCGCAAAATCGTGGCAGTGTAGACGCAGCCTTACAGTTTAAAGATAATATTCCCTGCTCTCCATTTCCTTTGTCTTACTTATATTTCCCTAATGTGTGATCAGGGCTTTGCTGGGTCCTTTACACTGTTCCACCAGCATTAGCCACAGGTCCATTTCTACCAACCTTATTTTTGTGTACTCATTGAAACAGTTGCAAATCAGACTAGCAGGGAGTCCAGCTTTTCATTCCTTTGTTTTTCTCCCATCTTTGTCATAAAACAGTGCTTCTGTAGCTAGAGAGTGCCAGATGGAAGCGACCTCTGACATTTTTAACAAGTGTAGTGTTGTTACTCTGCTAACCTAACTGAGCTTTGCCACACTCATCAAGTGATTGTATCAACTGAGTAAGTGACCCACATCTACCATTTAACCCCCTCTGTGTTAATGTAGATGGTATATATGTAAGACATAGATATATATGACTAAGTAAAATGCTGT